GAAAACTGGCAGCTCTGGGGTCTCTAGTTGTTTCGATTAGCTTAGACCCCAACTCCTTTAAAAAGCTAGCAGCACTTTTACCCCAGGCACCAAGTGTCTCTGAGGCAATGGGGACAAAATTGTAGTGGTGCTCAAGGTCTCTGTATTTACGTGACTTGGCCGCTTCCCGGTGATTGGCAGCTCCTCCTGCTTGTGTAGCACTGAAGTCAACATAGGTACTGGCCAAAGTTGAAACGCAAGTGTAGTCCCACACCAACTGTCTACCATTCTTCCAGGGGTTCACCGTAATTCCGTCTGGGCGACCGACAGGCTCATCAGAGTTGCGGGACATTAGGTAACGGGGCTCTCTCTCTGCTGGACAACCGGCTGTGGTAAGGCTCCTCTTAATAATGTCATTAACCTCGCCGTGTCTTGCATGCCATCCTCCCGTCCTTTGGCAAAGAAGGCCATGCCGTCCGTATCCGTCGGCCTCTGCCTCACCGCAAATACACCTGTATTCGGTGTGGATTGGGGCAGCTAGGCGGAGAGCCACGGCAATTCGGAGGGCCTGCGGTGTGAGACGGGTGCCGGTTGCTGACATTGGGGTTGCTAATAGGAAATCACCTGCATGGGGAGCTGCTACAGCTCTAAGTCGGGCAGTGTCATGTGGTGTCGTCGCAGCTTCTAGCAAAGTTGCAGCTTCTTGGTCGGCAATGGGGCGATCCCAGCTGGATTGCTTATGGGCTTCAGAAGGCGGTGGTTGGGGTGCTGGTCCTGCGAGAGAGACCCATTTGGTTGTGCAGTCTGTGAAGCTGGGATCATGCACCCCTGCCTGTTGAACTAGGTGCTCAGGTAGGATTTCCTTCACCAGGTTGTCAGACCCCACTGAAGAGGACAGGAATGCTGGTACAGCAATTTGTGTTGCTGTGCGCACGCCAAGGCCCCCGAGTCTGACAGGAAGGGAGGCCTGTTTCCACTGTGAGTTGCTGAGGGAAAGATTGAGGGCTTTTTCTAGTGTTGATTTCAGCAAGCTGTCATACTCTTCTAATTTAATATTGTTGAAAGATGGCGAACATCTTAGAAAGTAGGTCAGCCTGGGAAGGGACAAGCATCTGGTGATGAGGTAAAGTGCATCATGAGCATCGATGTCTTCAATCCTCTCGTTCATCCTCTTCAGGTCAGTGATCTTCTTACCAAGGACCCCGTCGATGGCATTCCTTCCAAGAGGAGCACCTAGGAGTGTGCTGTCCTCAGGGTTGGTTGTATGAATGTCAGGCAAAACAACCTTTATTTGCTCTATTATGTGCTGGTTGGTGGAGGTTATTTCGCACTTGGAAGGGTTCAGGGTAAGGCCTAGGCTTGCTCCTTGCTCCTGGATTATTCTTATGTCGTCCAAGAGTGAGGCTGGGGAGCCGGCTAGAGTACCATCATCCAAAAACCAAATGTTGAGCTCACTGGACAGGTTATCGGTGACTTCCTTGATAACTAGGCAGAACAGAAAAGGAGCAAGGGGGTCACCTTGTTGGACACCTTCTTGTGATTCAATTTCATGTTCCCCAAAAAGCAGAGTTAGATTCTTGCTGTAGCATGAGTTTACAAACTGGTAGAGGGAAGGAAAAAGGCGATGAACTGCACTGAGTACTGCATCCCTTCTAACCAGATTGAAAGCATTTTTGAAGTCCAGCTTTATCAGGCCTTTTTCATTCGTAATGTTGGCAATGTAGGCTCTAGCTGCATGAGCCGCTGCCCCACACCCTTGGGTAATGCCAAACCCAAGCTGTTTTGGCTTCAGCATGTCGGCTGCTGCCTGACTAACTGCTCTAGCAACAGCCTTAGCGACGAGACGCCGGAGTGAATTGCCGACAGCTATCGGTCTGATTCCTCCATCTTTTTTCCTCAGGGCACAGAGGGTAGCGCCAAAAAAGAGAGGCCGTATGGTCTCTGGTATGTTGCCAGCTAGACATGTGTTGGCGAATCTAGTTAGTTCCACCAGGAGGCCCTGTGCAATGTCTCCCAGTGCAGGGTTGAGCATTTGTTTGATGTGATTGGGTCGTAGTCCTGTGAACCCACCTGCTGATCCTGGTGGGAAGGATAAAGCTGCTTTGTGCACCATGGATTCGAGCACACACAGGGTATATATATATATATACTAACTACCAAATACTAACCCCTAGTACTATTAAACAAATTTATTGTGCTAGGAAATAAAATTTACTAACCCTACTAACAAGTAGCGTAGTCCAACTTAATTCTCACTAACATTAATGCTGCTGTTAATTCAGCTGTCCAGTTTCAATGAGAATTAACTATTTATGTAAACCGAATTAAACCCAGTGTAACCTTGTTAGATTTACTTGGTAATTTAGATTGCAAATTGATTTAATTAAATTTAGCAAAAAATAATATATCCATTTATCGGTAGAATTTTCCACAGCTGCGGTCAGATGATCGAGTTAGATAAAAGTCACGAACTGAATTTCACCTATGTATACATGTATTTTTATCTAACTCCACGTTATTATGGAGTGGAGTTATTATGGAGTGCGTTAGTATGATGTTAGATAATGTCGGAAAGGCTTTAATCAGATCGTAAACCAGAATAAAATAGCATGATTTATATGCCGAGCACAGCACATTTATATGCACAGTGAGGGATCCAGGAGGCTCGCGCGTCGCCTACACACTTCCTGGAGACTTGGCGAGAGAGAAGCCATTTTGATCTGTGTTCTGAAGGTGAACCTTTTCTTCGTCTGTTATTCAGATCATCCGAGCATTATTGGGTCCCAGACTTTGCAGACTACTTCATCCATCATTGTGGACACCTCGTCCGGTTGGCTAAGTACCCGATGTCACATTTTATAGCCATAGATTTGTGTGCTAGGGTATCCTATCGTTAAGCAGCGAGATGATCAAAAACCACCAATAAGTGTTTCCCTCTCATCAGTCAATTTCCTTTCCAATGTGTATTTGTAGAAATATTTGTATATATAGAAATTACATACTATTAATTTCACTGAGTAGAGTTTGTCTACGAAGGGGATCACCTCTTCCAGTGAATCACGTGTCTGCCAAGTCAACACTATCAAACAGGATTAAACTGGTTATGGGAAGCTGTCTGGCGCATTCTACCTGAACTGCTTAACAGCTAAAACTTTGTTTCTAGTTATAACATTGTAGTAGTGTATTAACTCTATGATTAGAATTTATTAATGAAATTTATTATCAAATGATTTAACATTTATAGGCAATAGGTATTCTCAGCATTATTGATTCTACCCCCAAAAGATGTGCAGGGAAAATAATCCAAATTATCATTTAGAAGTTTTTACAGTCCACTTCTCTAACATTTTAGATCAATCATTTACTTTATTATTGAGGTAAATAAAATTATTGCCAGACTTGTGACTTTATTGATCAAATAATTACAGTACAGTTACATCCTGTAATAACACAAGCCATATAATATACAGTTTAAGCACTGTCTATTCACAATAACAATAAGCAAACTGCACATGAGTAAAGCTAGGACAAATAGAAATTAAGCTAGAAGTTAACATTCCACCAACCTGTACACAAACACGACATAGCTGAACTGACGACCCAAACAAAAACAGTCAAGCGAGCATCCATCTGGTACAATAATAGCTCCACTCCCGATACAATATATATAATACTTTTACTACATTCACCCCGTCTAGCATTTAAGTAACATAGTCCCAAAGATGTGTAGAGACACTGCGCGTCCTTCCAAATCGTCGAAGGAACTCCTGCAAAGTTGAAGACTGGGGTTTCAGTCGGTTCCTGGATGCCATCTTCTCGAGGGAGTGTTACTTCAGAGAAAGGTTCTCAATTAGGTGGTTTGGGACGAAGTAGTTCAGGATGAGGTGGTTCAGGATGAGGCGGGTTGGGGTTTACCCCCAGCTTTCCCAATCGTTGGGTGTTGCTGTTCAATGTTGAGATTGGAGTCCAAACTCTGTCAGCAATCTGTAGCCATGGGTGCGAGGTGTCTTAATGATACATTATTAATCCTGTCATCTGGGAACTTGATATGGGCTTATTCCGGATTCACGTGTACGACCTCAACCTCATCAACTAGAGGATAATTTTTGCTTTGCCGCACCTGACATTTTAGAAGGACAGGGTCTTTGCAAACAAGCCAAGTAGATTATATGCCGAGAGTTTTCCCACACATTATGTAGGGTAAATGTAACTCTGTGTATATATGTATTTATGTCCGAAGGTTAGATTAGCATTTTAAAAGCACTACAATCACCTTCTGTGGTTGATTGTTCAATAAATCCCTGGACTATATGTTTAACAGATCTCTCACCCTGTCCATGGAGGACAGAATAAAATGTATATATGCTGGTTAGCATTGTAAATGCGTGGCCACGTCTGTGGTATTACAAAATAATAATAATAATAATAAATCCTTCTTCTCCTTTGCTTCCCTCTCCTTCTTCTTCTCCTTTGCTTCCCTCTCCTTCTTCTTCTCCTTTGCTTCCCTCTCCTTCTCCTTCCCCTCCTCCTCCTTCGTCAGCAGGAATATCTCTTCTTTATAATAATGTATGGTGATCAATGCAGTAATAAGCAATATGTTTCAATGTGGTTCCAGGAGGAGAAGCCTCGTGGAATAGATCTTATGGAAGAGATACAGGTAACTTGTAATTATATAAATATAAGCTACTCTACTTTATGCAATGTTAATTTGATTAACACAAAGTTAGGGTAAGTTAGGTTGCAGCTGCTAGGTTAGGTGAGGAACCTAAACAGAACGAAAGGATTTGAGAAGGTGAAGGAAGGGTGGGGGGGAGTGTGAGGGGGAGAGTAGTAGGAGATGAAGGAGGGGAGTGTGATAGTGAGACGTGTGGTGGAGCAGGTGGAAGGGGAAGTGGAGCATGGTGGAGTGCTGGGAGGTGGAGGGGGATCGTGCATGAGGAAGGAGCTTGAGGAGGGGGAAAGGAGATGAGAAAAGTGGAGGAGGTAGTGGTGGCATGACAAGTGGAGGAGGTAGTGGCGGCATGACAAGTGGAGGAGGTAGTGGTGGCATGACAAGTGGAGGAGGTAGTGGTGGCATGACATGTGGAGGAGGTAGTGGTGGCATGACAAGTGGAGGAGGTAGTGGTGGCATGACATGTGGAGGAGGTAGTGGTGGCATGACAAGTGGAGGAGGTAGTGGTGGCATGACAATTGGAGGAGGTAGTGGTGGCATGACAAGTGGAGGAGGTAGTGGTGGCATGACAAGTGGAGGAGGTAGTGGTGGCATGACAAGTGGAGGACGTAGTGGTGGCATGACAAGTGGAGGAGGTAGTGGTGGCATGACAAGTGGAGGAGGTAGTGGTGGCATGACAAGTGGAGGAGGTAGTGGTGGCATGACAAGTGGAGGAGGTAGTGGTGGCATGACAAGTGGAGGAGGTAGTGGTGGCATGACAAGTGGAGGAGGTAGTGGTGGCATGACAATTGGAGGTGGTAGTGGTGGCATGACATGTGGAAAAGTAGTGGTGGCATGACAAGTGGAGGAGGTAGTGGTGGCTTGACATGTGGAGGAGCAAGGTGGAAGAAGAAGTGGTGGTGAGAGGAAGAAGACTGGGGAGTGGGGAAGAAAGGAGTGAGATGGAGGTGGGTAAGGGAGGGAAGAGGGGAGTGAATGGGGGAAGGGTGCTTTAGAAGAGGTCTAAAAGGGACATAGGGGGGGGAGAGGTTTGAGAGGTGATATGGTAGGGCTGGATGATATTGGGTGGAGGAGAGTAATGGGTGTCGGAGGGGACATGGGTGGAGGGAAGTGGGTGTTGGAGGGTAGTGGGTGGAGGAGGGGAAGGGGGTGGTGGAGTGGACAAGGGTGGAGAGTTGTGGGTGGTGGAGTGGACACAGTTGGAGGGCAACATGCCTCAGCAACCTTCCCTGTCCCTTTGTCCTCCCCACCATTCTCCATCCCCCCATCCCATCGTCCCCACCGTCTCAAACTCCCCCGTTCCCCTTCTCCTTCCCCACCATTACCCCCCTCCCTGGTCCCCTTGTTCTCCCCACTTTCCCCACTCCCTCATCCGATGCATTCCCAAATGGTCTGATGTTCCCATCAGAAAATTGGAAATATCAAGCAATCTGATGTTCCCATCAGTGAAATATAAGAAAAACAGTTAAAATATTAAATGAATATATGAAAAAATAAAAATATAAACTATAATCACAAAATGAACGGTATGGTAAACAAAACCGCTCAATTCCAATGCAATTCACACAACATAATTAAATCAAAATTAAAATAAATCAAAATCTATGAAAATTAAATTTATCAATGCAATCAGAAACATTGAAATGGAATTGTAACATATTTAGTACAGCATGTGTGTTCCTCTTACATGCAACAGATGGTGTTGTTTTTCAAGAAAAGTTTTACCTGTCACAGGTATAGCATCTATACTTATACTTACGAAATAAATGGTATGGTAAACATCACAGCTCAATTTCAACAAAATGTCACACAAAATAATTCAATAAAAAATAAAATGAATCGAAATCTATTATAATACATTTATCAATGCAATCGGAAACATTGAAATTAAATCATAACATATTTAGTATACCGTGTGTTGCTCTTATGTGCAACAGATGGTGCAGTTTCTTAAAAAATAATGTTTTTTACGTATCACAGGTGTGGCATCTGTTCTTATACTTACGAAATGAATGGCATAGTAAAAGCATGTACGTATTTGAATGGACCGTTGTTAAAATTTCAAAGCAATCAGTGAAGAACTTTCAGAGATTAGCGATTTTGAATAAACGAACATTTACATTTTTATTTATATACATGTGTATACTAGCTGTATCCGACCACGCATTGCTGTGGCTCCGAAACGCATGTGCGTTGCTGAGCCACAGCAACCTTCCCCTGTCTCCTAGTCCTCCTCACCATTCCCCCTTCCCTCGTCCCCTCGTCCCCCCAACCATTCCTCACTTCCCCGTTCCCTCGTCCTCCTAACCATTCTCCCCACTCCACCATCCTCTCGTCCACCCCATCATCTCCCACTAACCCGTCCCCTCGTCCTCCCAACCATTCCCCCCTCTTTCCTCATCTCCTTGTCCTCCCCAACATCCCTCACTCCCCTGACCACTTTTACTCTCCACTATTCTCCATTCCTCTGTCCCCTCGTCCCCACCATCCCCAACTCCACTGTCCTCTAGTCCTTCCCACCATTACCTCCTCTGTCCTCTCGTCACCCCCGCCATCCCCCACTCTTTTCCTCTCGTCACCTCCACCATCCCCCACTCCTTTCCTCTCTTCTTCCCCACTCTCTCGTCCGATGTATTTCCAAATGATCTGATGTTCCCATCAGAAAATGGGGAACATCAAATGATCTGATGTTCCCATCACTGAAATATATAAGAACAGTTAACAAACGAAATGAAAAACAATGAAATAATAAACAAAATTAAATATACTCACAAAATAAACTCTATGGTAACACCACAGATCAATTCCAACCCAATGTCACACAAAATAATTAAATCAAAATGAAAATTAATTGAAATCTATGAAAATTAAATTTTTCAATTAAATCAGAAACATTGAAACGGAATCGTAACATATTTAGTATAGAGTGTGTTGCTCTTACGTGCAATAGATGGTACTGTTTTTCAGAAAAAAATATGTTTTCACCTGTCTCAGGTATGGCATCTATAATTATATTCACGTAATGAAAAGTATTATACACAGCGCAGCTCAATTCCAATGCAATGTCACACAAAAAAAAATCGATGTCTATGAAAATTTCATTTGTCAATGAAATCGGAAACACTGAAATGGAATCATAACATATTTAGTATACCGTGTGTTGTATTTAAGTGCAACAGATGATGCAGTTTCTTATAAAAGAATGTTCTTTACCTGTCAAAGGTGTGGCATCTGTTCTTATATTTATGAAATGAATGGTATGGTAAACAACACAGCTCAATTCAGTCGCAATGTCACATAAAATAATTAATAAAAATGAAAATGAATCAAAATCTATGAAAAATCAATTTATCAATGCAATCAGAAACATTGAAATGGAATCGTAACTTATTTAGTATAGTGTGTGTTGCTATTACGTGCAACAGATGGTGCTGTTTAAAAAAAATATATATTTTTATCTGTCACAGGTGTGGCATCTATACAGTAGGTATATAAAAACATGTGCGTATTTGATTGGAAAGTTGTGTCAAAATTTCAAAGCAATCGTGTGAAGAACTTTTGGAGATTACAGCATGTGTTGCTCTTACGTCCAACAAATGGCGCTGTTTAAAAAAAAACAAACATGCTCTTCCTGTCACAGGTGAGACATGTATATAGAAGATATATAAAAACACATGCCAATCCAAGTGCAACATTGTATCAAATTTTCAATGCCATCAGTAAAGAGGTTTTGTAGATTTCCCTCACATGAAAAACAGTTTTTTTTTTAGCATGTTTTTTCACGTCACACACGTGACATCTACATAATATATATATAAAAACCCGCTCGGATGGGAATGGAAAGTTTTGTGAAAATTCCACAGCAATCAGTGAAGAACTTTCGGACATTAGTAATTTTGAACAAATGAACATTTACATTTTTATTTATATAGATGTGTATACTAGCTTTATCCGACCACGCGTTGCTGTGGCTCTGAAACGTATGTACGTTGCTGAGCCGCAACAACCTTCCCCTGTCTCCTACTCCTCCTCACTATTCCCCCCTCTCTCGTCCCACCGTCCCCCCAACCATTCTTCGCTTCCCCATCCCCTCGTCCTTCTAACCATTCCCCCACTCCACCATCCTCTCGTCCACCCTATCATCTTCCACCAACCCGTCCCCTCGTCCTCCTAACCATTCCCACGTCCCCAGTCACCTCGTCCTCCCCAACATCCCCCCCACTCCCCTGTCCCCTTGTCCTCCCCACTATTCTCCATTCCCCTGTCCCCTCGTCCTTACCATCCCCAACTCCCCCGTCCCCTAGTCCTTCCCACTATTACTCCCTCCTCTGTCCCCTCGTCCTCCCCACCATCCCCCACTCCCTTCCTCTCTTCCTCCCCACGATTCCCCCTACCTCATATGATGCATTCCCAAATGTTCTGATGTTCCCCTCAGAAAATTAGGAACATCAAATGATATGATATTCCCATCACTGAACTATATAAGAAAAACAGTTAAAAAAAATGAAAAAAAAAGAAAAAATCCAAAAATTAACTAAACTCATGGAATGAACGATATGGTAAACAAATCAGATCAATTCCAAAGCAATGTCACACAAATTAATTGAATTAAAATGAAAATAAATTGAAATCCATGAAAAATAAATTTTTCAATGATATCAGAAACATTGAAAATGGAATCATATTATATTTTGTGTAGCGTGTGTTGCTCATATGTGCAACAGCACTATATACATATAAATGGCGCTGTTTAAAAAAATGTTTTTACCTATCACAGGTGTGCCATCTATAATTACATTCATGAACTGAACAATATGGTTCCATCTATACAGCTCAATTCCAACGCAATGTCACACAAAGAAATTAAATCAAAATGAAAAAAAATCAAAATCTTTGAAAATTCAATTTTCAATGAAATCAGAAACATTGAAATGGAATCGTTTTATATTTAGTATAGCGTGTGTTGCTCTTATGAGCATCAGATGGTGCTGTTTTGCAAAAAAGCATGTTTCTTACCTGGCACAGGTGTGGCATCTATAATTATAGTCACAAAATTAAAAGTATGGTAAAGAACGCAGCTCAATTCCAACTCAATGTCACACACACAAATAAAATCTCAATCAAAATAAATCAAAATCTATGGAAATTCCATTTCTTAATGCAATCAAAAACATTGAAATAGTATCATAACATATTTAGTATAGCGTGTGTTGCCCTTACGCGCAACAGATGACGCTGTTTCTTAAAAAAAGAATGTTTTTACCTGTCACAGGTGTGGCATCTATACTTATACTTAAGAAAGGAACGGTATGGTAAAGAACACATCTTAATTCCAATGCAATATCACACTCAATAATTAAATCGAAAGGAAAATAAATGGAATTCTATGAAAATTAAATTTATCAAAGCAATCAGAATCATTGAAATGGATCATAACATATTTAGTATAGTGTGTATTGCTATTAGTGCAACAGATAGACAGAAACTAGACGCCTCCGCAGTAAGATAACTAGTGGGAAAATGCAAGTTATGAAATCTAACACGTGAACAAAACAAATTATTAAGAGTGCGACACGTGGTAGCAACACTGGCCGTCCATACTGCCTCTCCGGGCCTGTCTCAAGTTGGTAAACATCCACGATCAACACCCACGGCCAGCACCCACAGTCAACTCCCCCACCGGTCAACACCCCACCTTGTAAGACCTGGTAAGACCATCACCATTGAACAGAAGTGTTCAAAAAATGGCTTTGATAAAAACGTGCATAGAATGCAATATGAAGGTAAATTACCAACAGAGCTTTCAATGCCAACTCTGTTCAGCAGCCATACACACAA